TTCACATTCTTCATTTTTATTTATTTAATTAAAAAATTTTTATATCTTAAACATTTTATTTATTTTTTAAATGGAACCACACACACACACACACACACACACTCACACAGTGGAATGACTAGCTCACTGACATATTACCTCACACAGTAATTTTGGTGGTGAGAACACTTGATATCCACTAACAGCATTTCCTAAGAATACAATATATTATTAACTATAATGAGTAACTCAAATTTTAAAACCTAAAGTGTGAAGTCAATGCTCCTGAGTGCGTAGAGAAATTAAAGAGGGGCTGGACATGGGCCTGGCAACAACCATGATTCTGGATCACAAAAATGAAGGGGAGTTGACCGTTCAGCCCTCTGTTGTCTTAATGATGGGGTTTCTCACTGGACTTTTTAATTTTGTTAAGCTCAATGTGACTAGTAGATGCCTGCTGAATAATTATAATTGAAGCTTATAGTTGACAAAAAGCTGGAAGAAAAAGAGATCTAAGATTATAGTTAAGTTCGAGTGTGTGAAGTAAGACACACACTCAGATTCATGGTAAATCCTCACAAATGTACAAGAACAACACCAGCAGACACCTAGCCTTCCGGAAACAGCACCTCCTCCCTGTGAGGACTTCTCCCTGATCCCTGCCACAGCCCTCAGGCGATCCCACTGATCCAAAAATGGAAAGGTCAAGAAGCCTGGATTCCCCTCCTGGGATAACAGGATGTAGAACAGGCATCCCTCTCTCTAGTGATCAAAACTATAAAATACCAAACTCTGGAGGCTTGTGAGTCAGGTTATGTTTTTTTTTTTTTTAACTGCATGTTAAAAGTCAGTCTGTAGTGAGACACAGGAAGCCAGGTGCTCAGGAAGAAACCAAGAGCAAGAGTAGGGAGGGGAAATCCTGAGAGCGTTATACAGGTGTCCCCAAAGTCTCTAGCCTAAACGTATTCAATACACAATTTTACAAAATATTTGCAGAATAGTCTCTATGTGTTGGCCACCTCTTTCTACACACACACACATGCACACATGAAGTCATCTCTCCCACTCAGGGAGAATACAACACCTTTCCATGATAGCTCTTATCATGTGAACCTGTTAATCTTGCCTATGTATGGAGACTTCTGGGACACTCTGTAAATTCCAGTGACTCCTAAAGCCTGTCTCTGAGTTCTGTACATTACTCCAGGGTCCTTAGAATACACCCGCTTGGTTGTATACACTGATCCTACATTAATTAATTAATTAATAAGGCACATTAATGGTCTTCATTTGCATTTGAGGAGCCCGCACAGCACAACAGCTTTGAATAAACTAAGCTTCAATATTATATGAGTGCATGTCACAAACGCAAACTAATGCTACACTTTATGCTGGGGAGTAAAAAGTCTCGTAGGCATGGGGAACAGACAAGGTGTAGAGGAATTTAAACAGACACTTTACCCAGGTGGAAAAATCAGGTGGCTGATATTTCAAGTCGATGTAACAATTAAGCCGATATGAAACATTTCACTCATGTACAATCATGATCAATTCAGCAACATCAACGACATTAGCAGTTCTGGACGCAACTTTCAGGTACTTCGTCTATGTTACTGACAAATACTATGTAAAATGGTTTAAGCACCAATTCTTTGTGTAAACTTGAATGTTCAGCTCTGGAGTCATTTAAATGCCAACTTTTAAAAACTCAAACTTACTAAAACCAAAAAAATACGAAATGACATTTGAC